TTTGTTATGGGAGGAAGAAGGGTTAATTACTTGCATTCTTCAATCGGAAACATCTTTCCACCTTCCTCCCCCCTCCCTCCCTCCCTCCCTCTCTCCCTCCTGTTCTGACTCCGGAGCTTCTTTTTTGGTCTTCACTCTGAAAAACCTGGACTCCAGCTGAGCTCCCAGTCTTGAGAAAGAAAAGGAAAATAGAACATTGGAAAATGATTGGCGCAAAACAAACTGTTTGGGGGGATTTTCCCCGGCCCAAATGGACAATATGGAGGTTATTAATGGCATCTTTTCTTCTTTAAATGTGAAAACTCAAAGCAGCACCATATAAATGTTCACAGGCTCATCTCCAGGGTTCAAGAGGCCACTGCGTAGGATGAAGGCTCTGAAGAGCACAGCTTAAAGGTTTCCTTACGAATCAAAAGGTCCAATAAAAGAAAAGTTCCTTATTTGTTGTTTCCGACAGTGAAGGGAAACGGTGAGGAAAAGACAAACGGGAGGCGGAACAGAGATACGGGGGACGGGGGAGGATGGGGGAGTTTAATTTGAAGGCTCAATAGAGACCAGCTGCAGGGTAAAGGCCAGGGAACGTTCTGGATGGATAAAGACAGGATGAGATACCTCCAGGACAGGAGAAGAGAGGAGAGGGGAGGAGAGAAGAAGAGGAGAAGAGAGGAAAGGTGAGAAGAGAGGAGATCAATGCAACCAAAGGGTTGAGTGACAAAACCAAAAACCTAAATTCTGAGTGAAACTCTTGTAGCAGTAATGTCTTCATCCTCATCCACTTCAACTACACATTTATAATTTGCCAGTGCCGTGCGTTGCCATAGCCACACTGGGTCGGCCCTTGAGCAAAGCACTCAGCTTCAAACCACTTCAGTGGAGCAGCACAGATGCCTGGAGTAGTTTTGGCTGCACTCCTCACATTCCAGCGCAGGATGACAGCAGGAAAAAGCCTGTAGAAGAAGAGGAGTTTGGTTTGGCGTTTGTCTCCCGTCATTAAATAAAGATATTTCAGATATCTCAGAAAGCCAGTCATCTGTCAACTCGACCCCAAGCGTTTTGGGTTGTTTTTTTTTTCTTCCCTGCAGCAACGCAGCAACTTTGGCAACATACTGTGGGGGAAAAAAAGGGGATTGTGGGTATCTAAACAAACATCTCTCAGGGTGGTTCACCAGAGACAGATTGATGCTGATGGTTCTTCAGTTGTGGTTAACTGAGCAGTCAATAAAAAGAGAGCAGAGAAGATTCCAGCCTTTTCATTAAGGCTACCTACACTTAGGAGGAACCTTTGGTAATAATTGGAGTACTACAGTCTGGTCAGAGGAGAATCACAGTTTCCAGCAGAACTGTGGTAACACAGAAACACTGCTGCCACCGTCTTGTCTCTGCCTCCTGGGGCAAATTAGGCAACTGTGGTTGTTTTGTGGCTAAGTAAAAGCTTTTCAGTGGGCAACATGTTGATGACGTACAATGTAGAATTGATTGCATTTGTGGAGTGCTGCTGCCATCTTGTGGTCTAAAAAGTAGTAGTAACTACAGTAATTGCTAAAACAGTCTCAATATGACACAAATAGAACAGTAAAAGTAAGAGTTGTAATGAGTTGTAAATTGAAACTTACAGCAGTTGTGGCATTTCATTTAGAATCACCTTTATTTCTCTGTTTAGTGTTTTATCATTATTTTATTATTATTATTACATGAAAGTTAAATTTACATGAAAGTACAAAAATACATAAGGTGGTTAAACAATATGAAAAGATTAAGATGTCAGAGATGCTGCACTTTGAAACGGCGATTCCACAGTCCGTTTACAGTAGTTAGCTTCTCTTGGAGGTAGAGGATACAATCATTAGCGGTTTATGTTTAATCTTTACATTAACCAATAAGGTTAATGTAGTCAGCCTGGTTGTTGTTCTGTTTGTTGAAGCTATTGTCGTGTTAAAATCCTCTGGTTGGCTCAGTCACAGTCACTGTTGTAGGATACATACTTTGCTGCAGTTTCCATACTAATCAAAGTTGTTGTTATTATATATATATATATACTATGCCTCAATGTAAATTTTACATTAATAAAACACTGTGTTGTATTTTAAGTAGGATCTGCTTGAATATTATGTGTAGCCAAGATTTGCAGAGACACATTTGGCCAATAGACGACAGTAGAAAAGAGCAGTCAAAACGCCCTCTGTGGTTTCAGTTCTTTTCCAGAGATTTTCTTTCCTCAACAATTTCACCAATAATGTTCATTTTAATCATCACATTATACCAGTTGGCAGTTATCTATCAGATGAAGTGAAAATGTATAATAAATCATTCCAGTTTGAAAATGGAGCAGTACCACTTGAACTCGATGGAGGCGGTGTGGTGCAGTATAGCGCATGTGCGTCCACGAAGAGAATAGCAAGAAGAAGACAACTACCGAAAAGTCAACAGGAATGGCGGAACTATGGCGAAGAATTCTCCATCCACCTGCTGATATGTGTTTAATCTCCACACAGACCTCCACCGTGTCCAGTTCTGTCTCATCTGGACCTGAGCGGGAACGTTAACCGCCACCATCGTATGAAAAGACTTCTGTTCAAACAACATTATTGTACAATTAGAATGCCATTATGTCAGATGGAGTTAATTGTACAATATTATTGGGTATATATCCCATCTATTTTATTAGTGGAAATTCACCAACAGTTTTACAAACAATGTCCAATCTGGTTGTTTAATATTTGTCTTTACTCTTCTGTTGCTGCGTGTGATTATCATCTGTTAAAATTCCCTTGTAATTTCATAGAGACGCATACTTTATTCATATTAAACTTATTAAAACTAAAAAATATTTAAATAAATGAGGCCTCAGTTGCATATTTTTCTGTCCCCAAACCAAAGATCATAGCATATCTCACTACCATCCATCTCTTTCTTTTACTGCTACTGTACAGTATAATGTTTTCACACTACTTTTTGCCAGGTTAATGCAGTGACCCAGGCTCCAAATAGAGTTTTAACTTCTCTAAAGATGTAGATAATGTGGATTAAAAGCATTCTTAATTTTCCAGCATTCATGCTGATTTGACATCAGAAACCTGCTGCGTGCTGTTTCTCTGGCATAAGAACTACCTGTGAGACTGAGGTGACACCGCCCTTTGGATTCATTGTTACACTGTACACAGCAGTGTCCCCCAGCCTCGCAGCACACTCTGAATTGTACTGTGTTGATTGGTAGTTTGCTGCAGATGTCATGTCACTCCAGGTCATCTTCAATTACCATGTTCAAACTGTGTGAAATCAATTTGTCAGTGCTGTAGCTCCAGCTCCAGCGTCTCATTAATGATGCTTTAGGGGCGAGCTAACCGAGCCTGATGTGTTATTTACTTTTCTCCTCTCCCGGTGGTGTTTTAAAAGTTCCGAGTATCATATGATTAAAAATGTGTTTATTTCCCATTAGGCCATAGCAAACGTGCAGAATATATAGCAGCTCGCTTTGAAATCCATCACAATCATTCTGAAGGTCATTGTTTTAAAAGGGGAGTGTATTATTTTGAACAATGCTTTTCTTCTTCAGCTCACCACATCTACACTGATATCACAGGTTTGTAAGGAGCTCTAATCTGTGTTTTGGTTCCAGAGGTTCCAGTGAGAGCCAGCTGCTGTCTGCACTGCCAGGCCTGCTGCTGAGGACTTGATGTTGTTTAAAGAAAATGTGCCTTCATATTAACATTTGGCCCAGTTCAACATGGACTGATTCTGGTGTTTCTTCTCTTCACTAGACCTGTAATTAGTCCTGGTGCCAGGTGGGTGTGAGGTTCTGAAGAAAAACAACATGACACTGGTTTAAAGTCATGGTTTAATGATTCCTGTTCATGGGAAGAGAAATTCTTCTTTGGTTGCAGTAGAGAGGATTTCTGCCTGTTGTTGTTTTCTACATGTCTGACTAAAGGTTTTCACCAAATATATCCTCAATATCTATACTTCAAAATGCCTTTTGTAGAACTACAGTATGTCTGGTTTTAGCTCAGGTTTTAAAACAGTTCTCCAAGCCATCACTGCAGTTTTGAAAATTTTTCAAATCTATTATTTTTAACCATTTTCTTAATATGTGTTTTCTGTTGCATACAAGCTGCTAAGAAAGGCCTTACGTGGTTCTTTTTTATATATTAAGGATAACAACTAATTAGATTTGGTTCTACTTTCATGTGGAAACCATCTCTCCTTTTATTATTAGTTTTAGATATGTTATTCTTAAATCAGTACCAAATGTGTGTGATTTTACAGTGACAGTGTGAATGTAGGAAATGGGACACAAATGCACTGTGTGTGAGTGACTCACCATCATCATCCAACCTCTCTCTACTCTGCTTTCATCAGATCATTATCACCATAATAACCTGTAAATCTCTGTTCTGCAGCCACTGTATTTAAGAAGACTCTGTTGCTGCTGAAGAAGATGTTTGAGTCTAAGATTCAAAGTCTCAGTCAATGTTCGAGACGTCTCCATGGTTGTAGTTCAGACAATAAAACCCAATAAAACCCTAATTAATAAAATTTGTTAATTTACACAAGCCATCTTGAGAATATTATTTGTCACCACTAGGTGGTGGTGTTGTTTTCCAGTTGTCATTTTAGATTTTTAAATTTTTATAGGTATAGGTGTTACAATAGATATTATCAGATATCAACTACTGTACATACAACGCAATGTTACATTCTACACTCTGAATATAAATTGCGTAAATCTTTTTAAATTTTTTTATATTTAGGAGGACGACTGGAATGTATTTTTCATCTTTCAATTTTATGTAATTTTGTTCAGACTGCGTGTGTGCTTAATCACAGTTTTAATCACTTGTTAATGTTATTAAAATGATTTCCCCCATGTGTTCATAGCCCTAACACAACAACACCAATATTAAACATTAATATAATAAAGAATTGTCTCTTTTCCTGTTTCCTCTTTGGGGCGGAGCTTGAGTTTGGGATACTTCAAGTATAACTCAGACTTTTTGTAATTAGCAGCAATGAAAGTTGTTTTAAGGTTTTGGGTTTTTTTTAAAAAATCACGGTACATTTTTTAAAGATTTGAAAAAATGAGCCCGCTCACTATGTTCTGCTTCATGGAGCAGTTCCAGTTATTGAAGTCAAGAAGATTGGAGAATAAAGATATTTAACATAGAAAGTAGACTGTAAGAATGTCATGGAATGCACCAGAGGGCAGAAAATAGTTAGGCTAATATTTGGAGGCCAGAGACCAGCGCAGACACCAGTAGCTGATAGCTATTAGCTTGAGGTTTGTGTCTTAAATCTTGAAACCACTAATACCAGAAACTAGAGATTATTTATTTAAGGAAATTATGAGCCAGAATTACAACACAAAAGAGGTTAGAAGCCAGAAAGTAGAAGTTATGATATACAGTCTGGAAACCAAAAGCTAGACGCTAAAGTCTGAACAACAGATACTACAGGTTGGGGTCAAGGAACCAGAAGCCAGGTGCTAAACTCCAGAAAATGGAAATCACAAGCTAGAGTCTAAAAGCTCAATTATACTGACTAAAGTCTAGTAACTATATGATACAAGGTAAAGCCTAGAAAGTGGACGTTAAAGGCTAAATTATAGTAACTGAAAGCTACAAATTAAAGTCTAGAAGCTAAGAGCTACATCATGAAGTCTAGTTAATGCAAAGTTATACTTTTAGCTTCATGGTAAAGAAACAGACCATTTTATTGTTTTCAGCTGCTTGAGAAACTACAGAGTCTTCAGTCCTGACCAGTCAAACCAGAGCTACCTTGCGGTGTTAACAACTGGCGAGTGCTGGTCAGGTGGTAAGTCCAATTTTATGTATTTTGGGGTTTTTATCATGGTGCGTTCCCACTAAAATATGTTTATACAATTGTGAATTATGAAGTAGTCACACTGCTGAGTTTAAAATACAATAAGAACGTCATGTGCTAGGGACATAAACTAAACTAAAATAACTTGTTGACTTTAGTCTCAGCAAACTGTGCTGAAAACATCACATTGCAGGACTTGTTGTTTTTGTGTTTTTATATTAATGTAGTATTTAAATATTTGATTAATTGGACAAGACTTTGAAATGAGAACTTCTACAGGAGTGGTCAACTGGACCTACATGCTCACTGCAGTTACAAATACAGTACAAAATACCGTAGCTCTTTTAAATGTGAGTCAAACTGCCCACAGGATCCACAAGGCCTGTTGAAGGCATTTCTTTTTACTTAATTGGACTTATTTAAATCAGGCTGCACTATATTTTTTATCTGTTAAGTAATTTCAGTGTCTCAGGAGAGAGACTTGACCCCCAGCAGTTTTTTATATCATGTTCACTGTGTTGTGTGTCAAATTAACAAGGCATATAACCATTTTATCAACGCAGTGATTCTGACCATTCCTAAGTGAGTACTCTTTAAAATGCTTACAGATAATGAGGCTGGTTGAGACACTACACTGTACACTGCAGTGTCACTGGAGATGTGTTGGCTAAAAGGACAAAAATAGACAGGAAAAGCTGGCCAATTAAGCAAAGCAGCATTCATGCAGCTGTGGTTTCTACCAGGGTGTTCACGTGTGGCTGTGTGCACGTTTGTATTTGCCTGCAGCATCTCTCATATGGACAACTTCTGGTTTGGTATTCATTTTCTCTGTAGATGTTAAAGAAAGGACAGGGAAGTTGTGATAAGAATGACATTTTGAGATTTAATTTCTTGCTAGCACAGCACCAACAATAGGAAAAAAATATGGAGGCCTTACATGAGCTGCAGCGTTGCAGGGCTGACATTTAAATGTATAAAGAAGTAACCTTTTATGAAGCACTGTCAGCTCTATGTTAGCTCCTCTTTAGTCCAAAAGGTTGCTGTTTTTGGGGAGGTGTTCACAGCGGTGGAATAAAAAGTCGACCTAAATGTCATCAGGAGACCCAATCAGAGCCATAGGAACATAAACACACCTGCTCTGCCTTTTTTCACCTGATAAAAACAATATTTATATGGAGAAACAGTAGATGTAGAAATACACACCATTTTGTCAATCTCACGGCATTCTGTAGTGATACTCCAAAGTTACCCTCCTATACTGCAGTACCGACCTTAGGGTCTACTATACTAACTACTGTCTTTGCTGCAGTTTCGTCTTTGTGTTATTCGCTCTGTGTTTCTTCCCAGTGGGGAATTGTTGCCTTTTTTCCAGTGCAGTTGTTTTACACTGTTTGTATAACTCAGAAAAGTGGGAGCACTGAACTTTGTTGATTCATAATAGATGAGGGGTTAGTGCTCTTGCACTACAGAAACAAGGTAAGGCTTGGGTTTTTCTCATGGTACACTGGTCTGTGCGAATGACAGTGTAAATGTTTTGTCTCTACATTTGGCACCGAAATGGAAGGCGTCCAAGTGTCTTCTTGGTATAATGTGTAGAAGCAGCAGAAAATGCCGGGGACTGCTGTCCTCTGCATTCATACTGTGACAGTATTCCTACTCTCTCTCTGCCCCCTCCCCCCATTTTCTTAATGTTTTTTTGCAATCTTTCTTTAAAACCCACTGTTAAGCCACCTGCCTGTTCCCCATCAACACCATCAAATCCACAGAGTCAAAGGCCATTCATGTGGAAAAACTCCATCAACCACCTGCAGGTTCAACTCCACATCCTGCACCACTGCAGCTCAGACACTGTAGTGAGGGAGGACTCAGTTCTTCTTCCTGTAGAGCAGGAGCTTTAACATGTCTCTGCTTTTTAGTGTTTTTATTTATTTTATTTAATAGTGATGAAATAAAAAAGTTAGCTATAAATGTGGCTAAAAGTTAAAAAATATATTGTCAATATCAGCAGTGGTCCCTAGGCCAGACTTTAAACACACCTGTTGTAATTATCTGGTGCCTCCACTGACATGTATGTACTGTATGTACTGTAGGTGCTGTGGTCACCTCTGTTTATGTCACATTTATAGACATGTCACTGACAGCTGTCATGATGACACATCAAGACTGATTTGCTTCAGCCAACAATCAGTAGAAATTCTTTCAAAACCTCTTATTATTTCATTGGTAACACAACACCTGCCTACATCTACCAACGCCTAGTTGTCATCTGTGTCCTCACTCACTCACTCACTCACTCGCTCGCCCACCTCTCCACCTAACAAAAGCCTTTCTGTCAATATTCATCGTCACAGGTTTCTATCGTGTCTTCTCCTCACTCTTCTAACTTGGATTGGATTATTTATTTATAGCTTCTCTTTGAAGCCACTCAGATTTGTTCTCGACATTTATATACACTCCTTTCTGTTTTAGTAGTTGATTTCCCCTTATTTCTTACATATTTCTGTTGGACTTGTTTGACTAAACAAAATCAATAGCAACAAATGAGCACAGACTAAGAATAGGGCAAACATAACTCAAGGTTAACAAGAAAAAAACGAGGAGCAATTACTGTAGTATGAATAAAAGTTACCTGACAGAAATCCCTCTCTTTTTACAGTGAACAATTACTCTAATTCTAAATACAGTGCGGCTTTGAGATGCTAGCTCGCTGAAATACGAGTTTTCCAAGTTACAAGTAAGCAACTTTTGCAACATTTTCCTCATGATACGAGGAAACATCGAGTTACGAGTGCTCTGCCGAGCTCCATTTTTCCACTCGACACTGTCTCGCTCTCTGTCCCTCACTGGGTCATTGGACCCATTTTTATAACAATAATAAAAAATGTTTTCTCAATTATTGTTTTATATTATCAATATGTTTGTTTATATCTATGTTTTTGATGTTTAGATAAGGGGGGAATTTTAATTTAATTAATTAACAGTATATTACAGTATATACAGTATATATTTCAGGGGGTCTGGAACAAATGAATTGGTTTTTAGTTATTTTTAATTGGGAAAATGCAATCGAGATACGAGTGGATCGTATGTCGACATACGACATACGAGCTGATGTGGAACAGATCTCAAAGCTCCACTGTATCAGGAGACAACTCAGTACCCAAAGGAGAGAGCCTGAAAACACCAAACAGTCAAATCTTATTTAAACTAAAATTCAAGTTAAATGTAATTTCCAAAGGTTAAAAAAAATAACAACAAATAATACCAGCAATAATATGATGTCATTCCCCATTAATATCTGCTGGCACAGAAGTTACCCCACTGATGCTCCTTTTTTTGTTTAAATAACTAAGCATATATCGAGACAGTTGAACCTGATCAGGAGCTGATGGTGTGAGTTGAGGGACTGGAGTAGCTGATGTGGACAGGACGGTGAAGGCATAGGTGGAGGACATGGGAGTCTGACAACATTACCTGACATAAGGCTGACAGGGTGTGATTTGGCTGAGGTCACTGCCAGATGGACTGGACAGCATGGAGCTCAAGGCAAAATGAAGCTGCCAAGGCTGCTGTCGCAGATTGTGGAGTCAGAGAAACAGCTTTGTGTGTTTTCTTGTTTCTCCATTGGAGATGGAACGCTCTCTTTGTTGAGCCTTTGTGTTAAAATGTCACATAGAGCCGCTGGTGTCTAAATAAACACAAACCCCAGCATTAAATCAACAAACAGTTCACTGTATTCACATTAGACTCAGTCAGATTTCCATATTCCATGTCTAATCAAGCACTTTCAATCCTCTTACAGATTTTGTTTTTTAGTACTAAAACTGTAAAAAGAAGTGTTTTTCCAGAAGATTGTCCTTGGAGTTCAATGTGATTCGGGTTTGTGCCGGTTTTGGATAATTTCGTTAATTCACACCAAATGCCGCCTTCTCTCCCTAATGTCCCTTAATGCTCTTTAATTACTGTCAAGCCACCAAAATGGAAACAGAGTAAACAACAGTCACCAACCATTAAACCAATAAAAACATTTATTAGTTGATATTTTTAAAGGAAGCTGTTTAGTCTGATCCTCTGCAGTTTAATTCCACTCACAAAGACAAAGAGAGAGAGAGAGAGAGAGAGAGGGAGAGAAAGAAAAGGTCACAGGTGAGACACTGTTAGCTAGGGGCTATACAAAGTTTACTTCATGGGATGCAGTCTAATGCGTCTAATGCTGGAGACGACAACAGCTCATTCTAATTTTCTGTTCAGTTTTAATTCCACATTAACCTGAGAGCTACCTTTTATCTGACCACAGTGAATGTTTAAGTTGTTGAACTGGTTTGTGTAGTACGGTAAACTGAGTAAATACTGTGTATCCTGATCCGCTGGTGAAACACACTGTTTGGAATCAGGTTTTTTTTCTGAGAGTGTAATACAATATTTTATATTGTAGTACAGAATTTAATCGCATAACAAAGTCTATATTTAATGTATTGCATCTTGCAGTATAATGTGCTACATTTACGTAGAGTGTAAAGTAACTCTGAACTGAAGAAGCCTCTTGGATGAGAGGTGAAACGTTCTTAAGAAACCTACTCCGTCCAGTTGCCCTCTATGTATATAACTATATATAAACTGTTTTTGGCAAAAGATTGGAAGTATTGTAGATGATTATTGTAGATATTGATAGTAATATTCTAAATACTACAGTCATTTTTATAGTACAGCAGTTGTAGTATAAGAATGTGGCTTACTCTACAGTGGAGTATTTCATACTACTGTCTACAGTCATTTTTATAGTACAGCAGTTAGGTGTTAGGTGTAGTAAGGTATTGCATAGTATAATATGTACTATAGTGGTAATAGTGTCACAGTCATGTAGAGAAAACATATATAACACGTACACTTTATACATTATAGTATGGTGGAGTATAGTCTCGTTTAATCTTGGTGTACTGTGATATGACCTATTCCTGAGTTGTTCTCACCTCATGATCACAGACAACAACAGACCCACTGACCCACTGACCATCTGTAACCTGTCTGTGACTGGACAGTGAGCACAAAGCTCCACATTGTTAGCCAGCATGAAAACGTCACAGTTTTACTGCCAAATGTAACATGTAAGATTCTTCTGTAGACCTTATCTGTTCCACCTCCTCCACCTCCTCCACCTCCTCCACCTCCTCCTCCACTTCCACGTCACACTCTCTATTTCCATAGGTGGCTCTTGTTACTCCAGTGACCGTCTTCCACAAAAACGATCACACAAACACACCACCTACCTGTATGGCACAAACCAGGCTTTATACTGTGTCGAGGTAACAACACAGTATCACAGTCTCTGTGGCAGCTTCAAAAAGACAGTAAGTTAGAGGATTTCTCTCTGCTCACAGACAGGTCTGTAGCAGTGCCACAGGGCTTTCACAGACATCAGTGGGACAAGAACAAACGTTAGGTGGACAGGAGCAAACGCAGAATTATGGAAAATGCATGATGATGTAAATTATAGTAACCTCACTTTTTTTTCTTTGCCTCAGATCTATCTGTACTTCTGGGCACATTCATTTTGACCAGACCCACAATTTTTACATCACAAACCAGCCGGGACACTCGTCTTCATCCGTTTGACCACGCCTGTCTTTTCTGGACATTCCCGGACAAATGATTTGCTCTATTCTCTGCCCAGAACACATCGACGCTTACTTTGCAGTTCTCGGGGGAACCCGTGCTCAATAATTCGCTTATTAACCAGGTCTTCAAGACTGATCGACTGAAGGATATAAATAACTTCTGTTGTATGTAATGGGTGATATTTTCTGCTCACTTGTGGCTGCTATGTTTTCATCCTGTTGCCTTGGTGACACTGGAGATTAAATGCTTCAGAAAGTCCCAAACATCGTTGTTGTATTCAGTTGGCCATTTCCACTGTTTGCTGACAGAAAACTGAGGTCCTCCCCTGACTGGAATTT